CAGCGACTTGCAGGCCTACTATTCAGTAACTACAGTGAATTATGCAAGCACTGCTACACAACTAATAGGAGAGATGTAGTTCTCGGGGGACGGAATCACTGCAGTTAAAGGAACTGGCTTCTTTGTACACTTGTGTCCATCCAGCTACTTTGCTCTGCAAGACTGCTGGCAAGTAATGCTGGACTTAGGTCAAAATATACGGCAGCAACGTGACACCTGATCAGGCGCTCAGGTAAACGTACAATGGACTCGGCCGCAGAAACGCTCGCACACTCACGCTCACACGCACACCTCCATAGAAACATATCAACACACATACTCCCAAGGTCTTTCCTGGAACTAGGCGTAGTATCGACCATATGGAGTCAGCGCACCAAACAAACAAACCCCCTACAGCTGGCAACTGCAAACAGGGAGACAAACAAAGCAACGCTTATCTCCTGGAGCCCCCCAGGGGTCCCCATTTCACACATCCCCCACAAATACACACGCATATGCACAGTGGGGGGCTGAGCCTAAACACTTAACAGCTACTTCTAAGGTGGCGGAGAGCCAAAGGTAATTAGCACGGCCTTTAATGCAGAGGGAAACGGTGGACGTTCACTGGGGACACCTTTCATGACACTGACTGAAAACAGCCAACACTACAGAGCGGTTTAAGTCAAACCTACAAAAAAAGAGAAGGAAAGTATGGGGAAAAAAGTACTGATCAGGAATCAGAAGCCCTGTCACAAATATTACATTATCGGCTAATTGCAATAATTTGTGATGATCACAGTTATTTAATCTGACTGCAGTCGTTTTCTATAGTTGTTGGATTTCACAGTTATTACGCCACAACATGTAATACATGCGCTGGTTTGAGCCAAATAAATGTTTATAAAAAAAAAAAAAACAATAAATGCATTCAGTGAGAAACTAGTAACTCGGTGCTCTAACACGTTTACAGGGCAGCATGAGTAATGTTTGGTTAATTAACCAAACCCAACATTTTTATCATGTGTGTCTGCAAACTTAGCGGCTTATATTTTCACTCAGAGCTCTTGACTTTACCCTCCTATTATCTTCAGGGTCAGTTTGACCCTATTCAGTGTTAAAAATCCCTAAATAAACGACTGCTTCATATTTATTGACTTGTCCTCATTTAGTGGATAAACATAAAAGTCACATGATGGTATGTCTTCAATGTCGTTTACACATTTAGTACACATCAGTGCTCTCTGGGGTCAGTTTGACCCCAGGCTGTTGTAGCTGTAGGAAATATCAACATTTGTTTTGGTTGTTGTGCTGGGTCAAACTGACCCCAGGCATAAAAGTATGTAAATGTGAGGATAACAGAAGAGCTACACATGATTCTGTGTAACAGTAGTTGTTCGCTGATGTTGACGAATCAGCTAATTTGGCCTCTTTAGGCCTGTAGTTTAAGAGCTGCATACAATAAACAAAAAACTTATTAACTGCAATTATTGATGTGGCAATTTATCATCAGCTACAACTTCTAGATAGCCTTAGGAATCAGTATCGAAGAAAAGGTATTGAAGACTTTTGATCTAAACTCATGGGACGTTACGACACACGAATTAAATTTCACATTTTGATACTGAGGTTGTGAGGCAATAGCCAAGTTTACATGCAGCCTAATAATCCATTAATAATCCGACTAATAGCTCAATCGGAATAGTCTAGTCTGATTGAGGCCATTCGGAATACAGTTATTGTAAATAATCCGTTAAACAGAAGAATAATATCCGTGTAAACGCCTGTATCTGATTACATTCCCTATCGGAAAGTTTAAGTCCGTTCTGATCATGTTCGTCACGTCATAGTGAAACTGTATACCGTTCAACATGGCGGAGCAGAAACTGGTCTGCAGAGGAGACGAAGTTTATGCTCTGATCTTTAAAAGACGGCGGTGGGACGGACGTCCAGGTTATGTGTCTCAGATCATGACGTCTTCCTCTCGGCCTTCTTTAATAAGGACATGTGAAGGACGTTTTCCTGAGTCTGACATCATTTTAAAGCAATTAAACACAGAAGCGCTGCTCACTGCTGCTCGTCTCACTCTGACTGGACTCACGTGATGCTCATTGTCATGGTAACGTCTACACTAAGTGGTTTTCAACGCGTGCATGTAATGCTGGATCGGGCTACTTGTGTTCAATCGGATTGGCAAAAATCCTCGCATGTAAACACAGACAGTGTGTGATGAAATGAATTCAGTTTAGTTAGCGATATCAGTTTTCCCTGTTCACTTAATACACTATTAAATTTCTCAACAACTCAAGAAAGAAATCTACACTTTCTCTTTCTTTAAACTGTCTAAACATAATAATTCTGACTTCTCTGACACTCTTCTGACACTCTGACCAAAACAAAACAAGTTATGCGTACTATCATAGTGCAGAAAACACAATACATATCATATCTTAAAATCTGAGTATCGTCACATCCCTAAAAGAAGCTTTACGGGTCATCACATGGTCATATTTCCATGACTAGTCTATCCTAAGGGAGCTGTGTCATTGTGAGAATAAAAACTGGGCTGCTCTGTCAAAACCAAATGCCCTTCGTCCCACAGAGACTGTTTGCATACAGATTCACTTCTGGGCTTAAAAAACCCTCCTTCTAAACAAGAACAGCCTTGTTGCTTCGAGCCGAGCTCTCCGCAAGACCCACTCGGCGTACGAATACCCCCCGTGGTGAGTGTGGTGCATGACTTAACCCTTAAACTCTGCATGTGGCCCACATTTCAGGTTCTTCACTGTCATAACCAGAACTGGGTATCATTAAAACCACATATCGATACTTCATTTTAAAATACATACATTCATTTTAAAACTGAACTTCGCTTTAATTATTAATCGAAAGTGGCTTAAAATAAATGAATATGAAGTGCTGGAAGTGGGTGTATTTACAGACTACACTAATCAAGAAGTGCAGATGTAGCTAATTTAGACAGCCAATCAGCAGTCTAGATTTCAGAACAAGCATGCTTATTGGCTCACGGATGCTAAGCCAGAATAATCTGAATAATTCGAGTACCATAAAGGTATTGAATTTCAATACGTCTTACATATTACATATTAATTTCATAGTAGTTACTTAATAATAACAACACTTAGGATTAAAGAGCCCATATCACAGAATTAATTTTTATTTTATTAATAATTCTTAACGTTTTTTATTTAATATTTCTTAAGATGTAGTGTGTAAACCCTGCTAAGGTTTCTCCAAACGTACCGCTCACTCTCGAGTCCATGCTGAGACTATGCCGCAAAAAAAGCCCATGATGTCACAAAAACCAACACATTTACAGATATATCCACCTATTCCGCCTTTTACAGCCCACACTGGTGTTTCAGCCTATGCTGCTTTTCAAACAAGGCCCTACACAGGGCAGCCAATCAGAACAGAGCTCATTTGCATACACCAGTCTTAAAGGTACAGACTGTTTCATTCTCAGGGATAAAGGGAGGTTAGAAAATGGTCTTGGAAAAAAGAAATTATGGCTGTTTTTGGTACATAAACCCACCCATATGTCATAAAAGATATGGAGGATTTGGGCCCTTTAATAACTGTCGCTTTCAAAGGGTGAATCTGCATGTGTGAGCGAGCGTGACTGAGAGAGGCAATGTGCTCTCCGTCCTACACCAAGGCAGAATTTGCATAAGCTTGCTGAGTGGGTACATAAATGTGAGCCTGTGTTTGTGCGTGTGTGAGACTCATTTATCTGAGTGTGTGTGAGACACGATCCGTGCAAGGCTCGGCTCTGTCTGCGTGAGAAGAGCGTGCGACCGTCCCCGCGTCACTCGCGGTGACTCTGTGCGACTTTGTGTGCGAGTGACCGCATGAGGCAGAAACAGGTCATGCAAGTTCACGGCTTACAGCCGTCAGCGCACTTCCCCGTCTCGGGGCAGCCGGCGGAAGGCTTATGAGGGGGGGGTGATCAACATGCACTCTCTCGCACACAAACAAACTTCAACCTGAACTTCCCGTCAGTTACACACACACACGCACCTGTTTTTTCTTTCCTGTGACCCCACTGCTGCCTCTATCACACCCCCACACACAATCCCTCCCTTCAGCACTAATGCTCTTAAATATGCCTCCCTTTCTTAGTATGCTTCCCTAAAAGTAGTCTATCCAATACTGCTACTACTACTAACCCTTTAAAGCTTATTACACAGTTATTAACCTCTTATAATCCACATCTGAATTGTCATACAATCCCTCCCTTAGGCACTAATGCTCTTAAATATGCCTCCCTTTCTTAGTATGCTTCCCTAAAAGTAGTCTATCCTATACTGCTGCTACTACTAACCCTTTAAAGCTTATTATACAGTTATTACCCTATTATAGTCCATGTGTGAATTGTCATACAATCCCTCCCATCAGCACTAATGTTCTTAAATCTGCCTCCCTTTCATGCACTTTACACTAAGTTATGCTTCCTTACTAGTAGTCTAGCCTATACTTTTATTACTATCAACTCTTTAAACGCCAAGCTTATTACACAGTTATTAACTTATTAAATCTATTGAAGGCCATATCTAAAATCTGCCTCCCTTTCTTGCACTCTACACTAAGTTATGCCACTAACAGTAGTCTAGCCACTACTGGTACTACTTTACAGGGACCTTTACAGGCCAAGCTTATTACACAGTTATTAACCTATATAAGTCCCTATCTGAATTGTCACATATAATCCCTCATTCGGGCACTGTTAGATGCTCATCCACAGTAAAACTATGCAAAATATCACCTCTTTAATCCAATCAGATGCTCTGTGACATTTTTCCTTGACTTGAATGGGTTAATCTTCAGGCTTATAAGCTAGTAATTACTATAAATAATGTATGTTATGTATGTAATCAATGAGGAACGTAAGTCTGGCACTGCCTTCAAGTTAAAAAGGTTAACTAAGCTTATCCGTTATCAGTTATCAGTGATTTCTGGCCACCATAAAGCAGGAATAGAATGTAAACAAAATAGGCACTTACAGAAATTTAAGCTTGACTTGCTCATTGTCCGGATTGCAATAGAGTCTTTCCAGCTGTTCCTGGGCATCGTCCGATATGCTCTGCCAGCCGTGCGTATCCGAGCGCCGGATCTGCCAGTGGTAAGGCAGCACGGTGTGGTGCCGCTCGCAGTCGCTGCCGTAAAGGCACGCGCCCTGCAGGAAGTCAGCGCAGATGTCGATACCGTCGCCCTGGTGCGTGTGGTACTGCAGCTGGGTCAGCAGTTCAAACACGAGGTCCAATGAGGCCTCCTCGCTCTTGTCCCGAAACATCTCACCCTCCTGGGCCGCAGCGCCCCCTAATGGCTCAGCGGGGGCGAAGATGTCGCCTAGCGTCTCCGAGGCTACGACAGCGGGCGCCGACGTCACATCCGGCGTCATGTCCGCCGCTACGTCGCCCGTCTGCGCCTCCGAATCCACGGTGTCCTTTGTCTGTACCTCGCTCATGGTGGCCTGCTTCTCAATGGTGGCGGCGGCGGCGGCGGCACACGGGGCCACAAACACCCCCTCCCCGGCCACCAGCAGCGTGCTCAGGAGCGGCTCCTGCAGCGCCCGAAGGCATTTCCTCTGCGCGTGCTTCTTCTTGAAGCAGGGCTTCACTAGAGGGATCTTATCCACGAGGCCCAGCCGCTGCTCGAACTCCCCGTCCTCCATGGCCAAGCTGAGCGTGGCCTCCTCCAAAACTTTCTCCCCGTCGCTGCCTTCCGGCTCCTGCATCACATGCAAACTCTTCTCCATGGACCCTGTTGGAAGAGCAGGTAGAGGAGGCTAATGACTAGTCACGTTCGTGTAGCTACACGCACGTAGGTGTAACACTGACTGGATTACACGATCAAATTACACTACATTCACTTCTGCTCAAGTGCACTTGTTAGGAAAGGGACCTACATTCTTCAGTTCCATTTCTCTCACAGTTGGTTCCTGATTCCTTTTTTGGTTTAACTGAATTCTCAGGTGATTTTAGGGTTATCACGATAAATTTTAATTTATCTGGTCGTACAGTCTGCGTGTTTCATTAAAAGATCAGATTTTAGTGCAGCACAGTGTGTAAAATCGTGAATGAAAATCACTGGACCCAGAATTTTTGATAGCTGTTTAGAAATATCATGATGTGATATTCTAGCTGTATCGCCCACCCCTAACCGAATTCTCTTCTCTTGGTTCAGAACCAGGACTGCTTGACTGTTGCTCACAGCTTTAGTGTTCTATTTCAGTACAAAAGGATCTCAAAAAGAGAAGGACAGCAGTTCCTACGCTGACAGATGCTGGACGTTCTGTGAAGTTCCTCTGTACTGACTTCCACTCAGGCTGTATGTATGCTACACTCTTAAAAAAGATGGTTCTTCAAGGGTTACTTAGTAAAGGCAATGACTGTATTTAGAACCACGAGCTCTATATAGAGGCATTTCATGCTTGGTTCGTTGCATAATGGTTCTTCAGACTGAATAGAATGTATAGAACCACATATGGTCCCGGATTTGTCAAGCTTCTAACAATAGAAGAACGCTTTTGGTGCTATGTAGAGCTATTTTCAAAAGGGTTCTATAGAGAATCTAAAATGGTTCTTTGCACGGTGAAAAAGCTCTTCAGACTGACAGACAATGTGTTGCAAATGGCTCTTTACAGGTTCAACCATAGAACCTATACATCATAGAATCACAGTCCATATAGATTTTATATATATATATATATATATATATATATATATATTCTACATTCTTAAAAAAATGGTGCTTTAGTAGTTCTTCAGTAAAGAAAATCATGATCTCTCAAAGAACCCTTTGCATTATAAATATGTAGAACCATTTCCGTAACTAAAGAACCCCTGAAGCACCATCTTTTTTAAAGTGTGCACAGTTGCATATGGTTCCATATAGAATCTGGGTCCTGAAGCTACGATGTCTAACTTGCAAAAATATACAAAACTACTTTCAAAAAGGCTCTACAGAGAACCTTAACTGGTTCTTTGCATGGTGGAACAGCTCTTCAGACTGATGGAGAATGTGTTGCACATGGTTCTATATAGAACCATATGCTATACAGGTTCTATATTTTACATAGGTTTCATAGTACCTATACATTCTACACAGGTTCTACACTCTTAAAAAAAGATTTTGCTTCAAAGGTTCTTTAGCGAAGAAAATGGTTCTATGAAAACTCAAAAAACTCTCTGCGTGATTAAAGGGTTCTTTGCATCCTTGAGTGTTCATAGAACCACTTTTCTTCACTAAAGAACCCTTGAAGCACCATCTTTTTAAGAGTGCACGGTTGCATGTGGTTCTACATAGAACCTAGGTTCCTCTGTTGTGACAATGTCAAGCTTGTAACGTTAGCAGAACCCTTTTTACTGCTACACAGAACAATTTGCAAAAGGATCAACAAACTCTCCACCAATCTGAAGCACCATTTCACCATGCAAAGAACCATTTGAGCATGCAAATGGATCTATGTGGAACTCATGGTTCTAAATACAGCCTAAAGAAACCTTGGAGATCCAGCTAAGAGTGTATCTGAGTCGCCACTGCACTGCAACAACTTTTGCAGCTGGGGCTGATCTAACGTTACCTTCCCTCTGGAAGCAGAAGCAGTCGGAGCGATCAGACTTTGGTCCCCTGTCAGAGTCACCGGGCTGTCATATGCTCTGAGCAGAGTCTGATCATAAGTCATCAGCGGGTCAGGTGAGTGAGTCAGAGCTCACGCTCTTGTGCGCTCGGGTGTATCAGCAGAGGCGAAACCTCACCTTTCCTTTCCTTTCTCGAGAACAGACGCACCGAGGGGTGGCACCAGTGAAACAGAAAGCTCGTCCCTCCTCTACCCCCCCACCCCCACCCCCGCCAGCCCCCCCAACCACCAACAACGTCCAGAGAGCGACCGGGCTGAGTCAAACCGAGCGGCTCGAGCGTAAACAAACCTCGTTTCTGTCTCGTTTTTTAGCACCTGACTAACCAAACCGGCACAAACCAGCAGCGATGCAGCCTGAGCTTCCCATTTCTCGCTCGAGTCCCCCCCGTTCCACCTTAAATGCCGCACCATTTAAGGTGGAACGGGAAAATTCGACCCAGAACGCTGGCGAATAGGGAGCCTCGCGCTCGGCGCTGGTTGCTTAGAGGCGCTGCTGCCTACGTGCCGGTGACCGAGCTGAGCTCGAGCAGCTCCGCACGTAGCGCCTTTCGCGCGCACACACACACACACACATATACACACAATGGCCTCTTACACACACAAAATAGCTTATACGAATAAGCATAAAACACGAACGGACGGGTCGTTCGGGAGAGCCAGCGCCGTTCCAGTCTGCGAAAAAGACGTGTAACGCTAATTAAACGACGACGCGTCCCGCGTATAGTCCTTTTCGCTAAACGTACGCGTCCGCGCGCAAGCGCTCGTGCTTCGGTTACCTGTCCAAACGGTCCCCGTTTTCTTCTCCTCCTCGCGCTCCGCCGTCCCGTCGCGCAGAGCAGCGAGAGAGACAAAGCGCTCATCCACCGAGAGAAGCGGCTCTGCAGCGCACTGAACTCAGCTCCCTCTCTCCGTCTCTCTCTCTCTCTCTCTCTCTCTAGCTCTGTCACTCTCTCTCTCTCTCTTTCTCTTGGTCGCTCGTTCGTTCTCGCTCTCTTAGGGGGCGGGGCTTGGTCGTGACTGAGCGAGGGAGCTCCAGCGTGCGCTCTCTCTCTCTCGTTCTCTCTCTAGGTCTCTCTATCGCCCTTGCGCTCCACGGGGCGGGGCTTGGTCGCCAAACACAGAAACAGGAAGTCGTGTCGGCGTTGATAGTGCGTGCGAGTTCATGGCAAAGCACAAACGAGACAAAGAGCGCACAGAGCTTTAAAGGGCCAATACGGTCCCTTTCTTACATGTTAATTGACATTTTTACATTTTCTCCCTCACAGACAAACAGGCCGCTTTTTCTCCGCGCGCCTTTATGGCTGAGGCATGTAAATAAGCTATACTTTAAACAGTGAAATCACACCTGGCTGTTAAGCATTAGTGATGTATTTGATATGTTCAGGTCTTTATCAGTGGTTACATATAGCATAAAACTCATTGATAAAAAAAAAAGGCCATGATATGGGTCCGTTAATCGTTTATGATTTTTAATGACCGAAGCAGCTGCTTTTTAGATAATATATTAGGGGAATTTATTAAAAATGTGGAAAATTAAGGGATTTTACAGCAGGTTTGTGTGGAATAATCTTTATTAAAATGTTAAACAATACATAGCATAATTACATCTGGCTATAATGAAGAACTACAGAAGATAAGAAAGAAACAGTGTAGCAAAAAGAAGGGGATATATAAATATCAAAATAATAATAATAATAATAATAATAATAATAATAATAATAATGACAATAATAAAGACAATATATGTAATTTATAGTCTTTTTATTGGAGGAGTAAATCACATAACTTTGGTCTGAACTAAAAATAAAATCTCCTGCCTCCACCTTGTGAATGTGTGTAATGATGACAAATAAAGCAAGAAATACTCACTCACTGCAGGGAATTGGTTGCAGAAGCGCATGGAACCAGGAGCCCCCTACTGGACAGGGAATTTATGAAACCCAAGCCTGCGTGCAAAAGGGCCTGATACAGCTAATGCTGTTTACAGCCCCAGGACACGCTATAGGAGACCCACACACACACACACCCAGCCACTTTACACACACACGCACACGGATAAATAAAGGGTGTACTGAAAACTGCTCCTGAGTTGAATATGTGATTTTGAGATTTTTATCCGGGACAGGAGTGGCTAAAATAACAAAATGAAAGCTCTGGAGGAAAAATGCCTTCAGTCCTAAAATTAGTTAGCCTGGAATATTATAAAGGATAACAAAAAGAGGAAAACATTATAAAATAACATCGTAGCTGGGTTGGGATTTAAAGGAATACAAGTATTGGAAATACAGAAATTAAGCATCTGTATTCAGCCCGAGTTACATTTTGTATAGGCAGTATTCAAAATACGGTTATTTTTACATTTTTAGGAGAATACTTTCAAAATGCTTACCCACCAAATTCAAAAATACATCTTTTAAAAACACCATCAGTGCTTGTTTGTTAACTATTTTATAACCAGTGCCTGGCAGGTAAAGGTGTACTCTAAAGAAGAAATAAAAAACAGCTTCTCTACAAACACTGAAGCTCTGCTAAAGCCTGAGTAGACTGATAAATCAATGTGATGATCAGTTATTAATCTCAGTGTTACTGAGCTCTGCTAAAGCCTGAGTAGACTGATAAATCAATGTGATGATCAGTTATTAATCTCAGTGTTACTGAGCTCTACTAAAGCCTGAGTAGACTGATAAATCAATGTGATCAGTTATTAATCTCAGTGTTGCTGAGCTCTGCTAAAGCCTGAGTAGACTGATAAATCAATGTGATGATCAGTTATTAATCTCAGTGTTGCTGAGCTCTGCTAAAGCCTGAGTAGACTGATAAATCAATGTGATCAGTTATTGTAGGGTGTGTATGTACTATAAAAATGACTAGAATTATTATATTTATGACTGATTATTATCAGTAAGGATTGATTTACCTTTTATTTACCAATGGAAGCAGCCTGTTTTCCACTGTGCCAAGTAATGGTCCTTCCCTAGCACTGTGTACTAATTCTGTACTGTTCTTGGCTCTGGTCTGGTTCCATTCATGTTCTGTCATGTTTATCCTGCTCATTTTGTTCTTTATAAACACGCTACCCCTGTCTGGACGTCTGGGTCTTTGACCTCCTGACCCGCCTCATCTTCAGGAGCTGAGTGCCCATAATCAGACATGCGTGAGGCAAGCTGGTGAAGGATTCTAAGGGGACCTGTTGCTTGTTGGTGGGTTTATGAAAAGCAGGCGAGGGGGGAGGGCGGAAGGTCTGAGGGCAGAAGCTTGCGGTTAGGGTCAGGATGGTGGAGGTGGGGGTGGGGGGTGGTGGGGGGAAGACTGGCCAAAACAAAGAACCTCCCGTTGTGCCTTTGCCCAAAGAAGGCAGGAAGAAGGAAACAATGCCCCGTTCTTGAGCTGTCACAACCCCCCTCCTGCACTCAGGCTCATCTGCACATGAGCAGAACACCCAGCGGGCGCTCACATCGCCCTGATCAAAGCGGCGGCCTGGCTCTGCCGCCCTGCTCTAGGGGCCACCAAAGACGTGGGGGGAAATGAAGGTTAAAGGTCAGCCCAAACATTTTGAAAGCCAAAGCCATCTCTCTCCTTGACCCCAAGACCCCTCCTCCTCCTCCTCCCCTCCGCAATGTTTCAGATCCACCTCCCTTCCAGAGCTTCGCCTCATTTACGTAACAGCGTGACTCATTCCCCTCTTCTGCTTTGTCATTGTCGAGACAAAAGGCAAAAAGGCCTTCGGAGTCTCCTCGCAGGCCGACTGATAGCAGGATGAAAGCAAACAACCCGAACAGGTTTCTGGGGAAAAGGGCAGAGGGTCATGAAATAGAATGGGAAAGATCTGGACAGGTCCAGGTGGTAGCTGTGTCTTCACTTACAACGAAACAAATATTTGAGCTATGTAGTTACGTTAAGAATCAAAGTGAGGTTTAAGGCACTCAATCAGGCTCCTGTATACAAATCTCAGCCTTAATCACTGTAAAAACTGATCTGAGATCAGGCAAAAGCGGCTTTAATGCGTTCCAGCAGCAAAAAGCGCGGATGGACAAGAGCCAACATGCCGTGTTTAGTGGCAGCGCAGAGAGCTGGAATTTTAATGACCCTGTAGAAACCCGCCCAGCAGGTTGCTGTCTCCAGAATGCCACGCATGCCTCCAAGACAGGCTAGAGAAACCCGGGAGGGAGGAGGCAGTTTACCTGACTTTAGCCCTAGAAAAGCACTCAAGTTCACAGTGCGCAGTCAGAAGGAGAATAAAAAGCAAACTCATGTTTTGATTAGTCATCAGTAAACAGAGGGCAGTCATTTCTGACCTGTGTACGTCTCAGCGACTAATACAGTACCAAAAATGATACCAGTGAATTTGACTCCTCACACTGGGACGTGAGAGGAATGGTGACACAGCCTTACTCAAAGTGTGAAGGGAACTAATGGCTCATGATGACTCGAGGAAGGGCTTCCATTATTCAGACAATGAAACTTAAAATGGGCCCTCAGTTTACCAGAAATCACACACTGAGCTCAGTGAAGATGAGGACCCTCATGGTATAAATGTTTTGAAAGACCCCTTATATTCTGTAAAATCATCTCTCACTCAAAGCTCAGTGGAACAAGTGGACGAGTTCTGTACAAAAGTACATCATCTAAACTTTCAACCCGTAACAAAATTTAAAGTACATAATTAAATTTATACTTTATTATATTTAATTACATCTTAAGTACACAGTTAAATGTATAATTTAATTATATTACAAACCATAAGCATGAAATAGTTTAATGCTTAAATTGTTTTTCAGATTGATAGAGAATGTGTATATGGTTCTATCTAGCACCAATACGGGTTCTGCTACTGTTACGATGTCAAGGTTGAAACAGTAGCAGAACCTCCTTTGGTGCGATATGCATAGTATAGAACCATATGCAACACATTCTCCATCCATGGTTCTACTTAGTTCTATGTAGAACTATTTCATGTTTAAATGGTTCTACCAAAGAACCATCATTTTTAAGTGTGTATATTGCTTAAATGGTTCCTCAGACGTGTATGTGGTTCTATATAACACCAAAAATTGTCCTGCTATTGTTTCGATGTCAACCTTTTTTGGTGCTCTATGGAACCATTTTCAAAAAGGTTCTATACAGAACCATATACAACACATTTTCCATCAATCTGAAGAACTATTTAAGTATGAACTGGTTCTAGACACACTTAAAAAAGAAAAAAACATGCATTCTATGTAGACCTATTTCATGTTTAAATGGTTCTACTAAATAACCCTAGAAGAACCTTTGTTTTTAAGTGTGTATAGAACCATTTCATGTCTAAATGATTCTTCAGATTGATGGAGACTGTGTATACTGTTCTATATAGCGCCCAAAAGGGTTCTGCTATAGTTATGATGTCAAGGTTAAAACAATAAAAGAACCCTTTTTGGTGCTATATGGAACCATTTTTGAAAATGTTCTATATAGAACCATACAACACATTCTCCATCATTCTGAAGAACCATTTAAGCATGAATTGGTTCTATACACACTTAAAAAAGGGTTCTTCAAAGGTTCTTTAGTAAAGAAAACAGTTCTATATAGAACCATAAACACTCACTGAACACGCCTTTGCATGATTAAAGGGTTCTTTACATCATAAAAAGGTTCTTCGGATTGATGAAGAATGTGTTGTAGTTGGTTATATATGCACTTAAAAATGATGGTTCTATAAGGGTTCTTTAGTAAAGAAAAAGGTTCTATAAAGAACCATGGACACTGTAAGATCCCTTTGCATGATTAAAGGGTTCCTTGCATCATGAATGTTCTGTATTGAACCTTTTTGAAAAGGGTTCTATATTGCACTAAAAAGGGTTCTTCTAAAGTAACAAGCTTGACATTGTAACAATAGAAGAACCCTTTTTGGTGCTATACAGAACCCTTTCCGAAAAGGTTCCATAGA